ATAATACACAGTATTAACAATAAAACAAGCCCTAAATTAGGCATTGTATTGTAGGAATTAAATTGAATGATGTGACTCTTGCATAGGGAAATGATTTATTTGTATTTTTGAATCTTTCAGGACATTTTAGGAATCCTGTGCCCCGTTTTTCCAGTGCGCTTCCACACATGTTGTGAAAACATTCTTATATGACAGTAGATTAAAAAATCTTATTCATTTCAACAAAAAAAAATGAAAATTAAACGTGTGGAAAGTTTGGCTAGAATGATTTTACAACGCGATTTATTCCTCATTTATAAGCTCAATGACTTCTTCGACCAATATCACTTTAAAAAAACGGACAAAGTCTCATATTATTGAACTTGTCACGCAAGCTTTGTGTAAAATCATCGTCACATAAGCAAAAGGACAGTCAGTTTAGTAATTGTCTGATATGTGAAAGGTTGTAAGTCACTGTTTAGTATGTACGTTATTTTAAATTTCATTTATGAGACTTAAAATCGATTATTCAATTACTAAATTTATTAATCAATACGGTGTCACAGATGTAGCATGTAAATATCTTTATTAAATATCATGCGAACGAGATAGTAAGTCGTGTGCAAGGAGAGATAGTTAAGTCGTGCACATGGGTTTCCTAAATTGCTAGTTACTATGTTGTGCGCAAGAGATATATGTCGTGCAGGAGAAATTCATGCACACAAGATAAGATAATTAAGCCACGTGTTCGAGTTACTATCGCATAGGTACGAATTACTTAGTCATATGCATGTGATAATTAAGTCGCACGCTCGAGTTTCTATGCCATGAGCATGAGATATTTGAGTCGTATGTACGATTAACTATTTTGTACGTGCCCATGAGATAATTAGTAAATCAAATATACTTAGAATACATTAATAGTGTTGATGTTTTTTAAATGGCGGAAGGCAGAAACGATTTCGTTCTTCAATATTTCAACGCAGAATTAACATGTGAACATTTTTTTCTTTTAAGAAATAATGTTTTCGTTTTCGTTTAAGCGATCAGCATGATATACTCATTTCGATCGACATTCAAATAGAGTTCTTCGCGATTAATGTTGCACCAATAATCTATGGTGAATTATAGACCTCTGCATTGATGCAGAGTAACGCGTTAGCGTTGCCATTGTCAGTGATTAACGAGTTCGAGCTAACGATGATACTACAATCTTTTCATTAATGCGATCCTTGGTTTAGTTAAACGTATCAAACAATTTCAAGCTGTCGTAAAAAGTATTGTACACTGTATATCGCTTGAAAGGGCTCTGTGATTCGTTCTACATATGTACACCTTTTGTTCTCTATAGATGCCTGTAAACAAACCAAAAAACTCAGAAAAAAAGTTTAAACATGTCGATGTAAACAAAACCCAGTGAATATGGATATATTGAATAATTTAAGCAAATTGATTTAAGGTCCACACCAATAGATGTTTTTGTCCTGCTGTCTTTCTTTCCGCCTTTCCTTAAATAATCCTTTTTTAGCTGTCTCCTATTTGTTCTCCTCACTCTTCTTTGTTTTTTTCCTCCTTCCTGATCTCATCTGTTAGCCTAACCGATTACTCACTATGACTTCCTTCCTTTCGCCTTCATGCACTCTTCGCTGTTCCTCGCCCATTTCGTTCCAGGTTTCTATTCAGTTTTGTCATCAGTTGTTTCCATCAGGTTGCCCTAAGGTTTTATCCACTCCTCTTATGGCTCTCCTATTTATCTCAAATGCATCGGTCACTTGCTTTATACCGCTTCCAATCACAATTTAAATTACTTTCACAAATATAGAGTCTTGCATTTCTTCATTGTCAAATTTTAGGTCATCTTGTTACTAATTTCTCGTTCTAGTCAACTTGGGTGGCAAATACAACTCTTGATGACGTTTCAACAAGAGGATCATCAACATTTAAAATACTATTTTTCATTCTGAGCACCTGCTTCAATTTCAAGCCAGTGATTATTGAGAATAAAATTCATATTCTTATCCAGAGTTGTCATTTATTCAAAAATAGGTCTGGTTATATGTATTCAGTGTTAGAATAATTAATTTGAGGATTGTTCATTAAGAAACCCAATGGTTGACTTCTGTTTTTACTTGTAGAAAGGTGATTGTTTTACTTGTAAATCTGCTGAAGGCACATTGTGTGAAACATTTTGATGATTTACCTTTGATGGAATTTTAACTTGTGTAGATGTTGTACACGGGCTATACATTGACCCTGTTGTCACTATTTCTAATATGATTGACGACCTGAGTTTGCGGTGTCTGAAGAAATTTTTCAAGCATTTCTAGGGTTATAGAAATTTGGTAATTAATACCAAGTACATGTAAAGTATTGTGAGTCATATTACAGTAAATATTTTTAACATATGTAACATTTTACATCATTTTTACTTTTCATGCCGGACTTTTATCGCTTATCGCCTGTTTAATTTGTTATCGCTTATTGAAATGTCCACTTAAATGGAATATATTCTTGTAGTTTGACCCGCCCGATGACAACTTTCCTATATCGAAAAAAAAATGGAAAAAAATGAAATACGTTCAGATCCGGAGAGATCATTGTAAACTAAATTGTTTAAATATTAATAATACCACCACGAAAATGGTAAAAAAGGAACAATCCTTTTTCAGCGGAAGTCTTGCGTAGGAATAATGACAGATGCAGGTCCAGTCAACTGGTGCTCGTCCAGTCTTGGGACACCTAGCAAATAGCTTGTACTGATACAGAACTTGACATTGTGGTTGTTTCACATTGTTCCTAGTAAAGCTCCATAGCGTTACGGCCACTAGGTGACCTTTTCGTGGTAAAGTATATACACGTATAGAAAATGAAATTCCATTTCTTTCTTACATTCAACATAGTGCGGTTTTTTTGTTTTTTTTTTTTTTTTTTTTGGGGGGGGGGGGGGGGGCTAGGTGGTAGATGCAAGTTGTGTGGGATCCAAGACTGGACCAGCACCTGTTGGAATAATTACGAAACAAGCAGACTATTAAAGCATGTAACAAATGATTATTTATTTAATTTAATCTGTGAAACACAACAGATTTGATAGACAGAAAAGGGATGTCATCGTAAATTGCTATGGTCAAATACCATTTTATGAATATTCTGGACATGATCAGATGTCACAGATTATACTGGTATAAATGGGTTTACATGTGTTTTGATTATGATAAAGTTATGAAACATAGCATATTCTATGTTTGTGACTGGTATATGTCCTTATTTACTTTAAGATTTAAAGATAATTAACTTTTCAAGTACACCTACAAAACTAAGGTAAGGTTACTGTTACTCTTAGTTCAAGTTTGTTACAGTATTATCTAGTTGAAAATTTCAAATAATTACAGTATTTGGTTGGGGTAATAAGATAAATAACACGTGGGTGTGCGAGTAACAGTAAAAGATCATCACTCGTAAAAATACTGTTACAGTATATTCTATGGGATGATATTTTACTGTTTTCGACAAACCCATGTGTTATCTTATAGATAATGTTACTAAAAATCATACTTTAGTGGTAACGGTTACTATACAGCAAACTTAAGTAGTTAATGTTTTCATTCATTCAGTTGTAGTGGTAATTGTTTAGGAAAAATATATCAATTCTGAGTCCATTCTTGTAGAATAATGCACGGTTAGAGTGCATATGCGTAAGAATTTTATCACGAAGGCCGATTAATTACGAAATACCGTGCATCATTCAACTATAATGCACGAAGAATTAAATTCCATTCTAACACGTAAAGAAAAAATATATAAATTATTATATGGTTGGACTTTATGTTTGTTGGTTAATTTTTTTTGCCAGATACGTTCTTTAAAGGTTGTTAAAGAAGCTGCTGTTAAAACAACCGTGTGAAGAAACATTGTGTGAATAACGAATTTTGGAAACGTTGATAAAACTTTGTTTGTTTATTTTTTTTCACTCTATATTTTTCAAACGAAATACAGAAAGTATTAACAGTGAGATAAATGTGAAATTTAACTCGTTTGCGACATTGAAATAGCGTTCTTGATTTGATTGTTTTGCACGTGCTGATTTGCGCTCGCCTAAACAATACTTTAAACGTCTGTACAGCGTTACAACTGAATTAAAGACATTCGTGTTCGGTTAGACACTTTTTCATTCTAGATAGTTTTCACAACAAAATTCGACAAAAAATGTATTTATCAGATTTTTCAAGCAAAATGGCGCCGTCAATGTGTCGGTTTGAAAATGCACAGGGAGGTAATAAAAACGGCGAGTGCATTTATGTAGAATAATGCACGCTTCCGGCATTCTTTGTTCATATAGAACAATTTCCGATAGTGTCAGAATAACATACATCACACATTAATAGTAAATGTTACTATACAACAAGCTTTAGTGGTTGATGTAACTAAACAGAAAGTTTTAATTGTTAATGTTACTCTCCATTAACTGTTATTATTTTATGTTACTAAACAGCAAACTTTAAGTGGTTAATGTTACTATACAGTTCACTTAAGTGGTTAATGTTACTATACAGTTCACTTAAGTGGTTAATGTTACTATACAGTTCACTTAAGTGGTTAATGTTACTATACAGTTCACTTAAGTGGTTAATGTTACATAAAGCATATTTTAGTGGTTCCATCATCATACAACAATCCTGGTTACTGTTGGCAATCAGCATTGTTAAGTTGTTGTTGTTATACAGATCAATTTAGTTGCAACTCTTAGTATACACAATTTAAGTGGTTACTGTTATTATACATCACCTTAATTGTACTGTCCTTTTACAGCACACTTAAACGGTTATTGTTCCCGGTATGATACAATACACATCAATTATTATACGTCAACACACCAATGGTAAGTGTAAACAAAGTCATAATAAACAGAAGCTATTTTCATAATCCTTACACTTTTCATTCCAATGGTTCACGTCTTGAAAAGTATATATTTTATTTATTTATACTGATTTGATTAAATATTGTATGTTACAATTATCCTTTAGATAACACAAGAGAGGACATACAGAATCATGGAAACATTTTTCAGAGGTTCTTTGGCAGAATACAATATGCCCGTATGAAAAGAAGTAAGTTTTTATTTACAAACAATATGAATGTGGCATTCCAGAATTAAGATACAGTCAAATCTTTGTTAAATAAAGTTAACCTCTGATTTAATACAACCCTCTAACTAAAGATCCTATTTGAAAACCATCATTGAAAAAAATACAGCAAAGTACGTTCCGAATAAAGAACACTTGGATTTTAAAATTTAGACGGCCTTAATTCACCAGTTCAACTGTACTGTTTTATAAGCTTGACTTTTTGTTGTTTTTTTATTTTTCGAAGAAAATAATTGATCTATTGCTACAATCATCGTTTCCGTTCCCGTTTCGTCCAAAACAATATTTTGTTGTTAGTGTTTTGTTAGAGTATTTCTCACTACAATAGTCTTCCTCCGATGAATAAGCTAGGCAGTGGCTCTTGTTTTAATTGTTTGGGTCTCCAGACCAAAACCAATAATGTAAGCATAAATTCGAAGCCTATGCATCGCTTTTTATCAAAAGTCGCAAGCAGTCCGTCTACATACGGTCACCCTTCAGAAAATAGATACATTGTTTCCGAATGATTTTAAGATTTATTGATTTTTTTGTCACATGTTAATTGTACATTTAGGTTCTCATTAGCCGCCGTACTTACTATCGGCTCAAAATTCATATCTTCTGCTTATACTCCGTGGAAAGAACACGGAGGAAAATTATCACCACTAAGTGCTTCAAAATTAGCCCCTTTAAGTCCGGAATCTGTACTCGACAGCGAGAGCTGCTTTTTGTGCTTTAACGGGCGGATGGACCGTCATTAAACCTGATTTCAATTTTAAGTTTTCAATTTTGCCGTGTTGGGCTTTTTTAAGGGATTCTTATTTCTCTCTATTTTACATACATATATTCATACATGTATATACATACACACACGCGCGAGCGCACGCACGTATACACACAGACATATATACATATGCCTTAATATTAGCTAAGTAGTAAACATTTCATATGACCACGGTGTTTTTTAAATTAAGTTAATTATAATTTGAACACCTAAATAAAGTAGTTAGTTTGTAAAGTAGTCGTAGACGTAGTTAGTATGATCACGGATTGCTATATAACACCGTGGAATGATAGAGATTCGTCTTACTGTCTCCATTACAGTCCGACCTTTTCTTCACTTACGTACTTCGATTAACTTCTTCTCAATTATTAATAAATCGATAACCATTCACAACACTTGGCAATTCTCCGCCATATTTAAAAACTGCAAACATAAACATAAATATATATATTGTATTTCTTACCATTTTTGTATTTTGTATTTTGTTAATTCTGTAATGTTAATTAAAGGGAAAGGCAATGTTAGAATAAAAGCTTGATATTTGAAATAGAGTACTATCAATAGTAAGTCTGCAAATTTTCTGCGTTCAAATAATGCTATTAAATCACCGTTTCTACAAATCAGTAGGCGCGGCCATGTTTGTGTATTGGCCGTATAAAAACAGGTGCGCGTGATGTCATTACCCCACATCTTTAGATTTACAATAAATTATTGTTGAATCGTAGCGAATGATAAAGATAATATAAAGTATTGACCAGATGAATTAATTTTAACAGGATGTGTAGAGAAGATATTTTTTTTGTTCAAAATGTGTCACAATATGCAAGAAAATAAAGAAACAAATAGAAAAATCAACGGTCTACTTGAGCATCGATCGCACCACTTCAGACCAGTGATGGCCGTTACTCCAAACAATGCTACGTTCATTGAAGTCTCATTTCAATGTAATAAAACAATATTTCACAGATTTATTAAATATATGTGTTATTATCTAACAAGGTTTCATAATCAAATATTTATTAATTTATTTATTTAAATGTATTTATTTATTTATTTATTATAGTCTCATCTGTGTACAATTACATATATTTCAACATAAAAGAGAAACATTGCATTGTACACAGCCACTCTTTGAGTAGAATTACAAGAGACTTAAGATATTTTACATATTTTACAAGTTAAACTATATTCTGTTATGTTATATATATAAAATATACACACACACACACACACACACACACACATATATATATAATGCAAATAATGCAATAACAATTAAATAAGCAAACACACCAACGAATAATGGGCTCTTAATTTTTGAACGGCGATAATTATCATTATTATTATAAAAATCCTACTAAAACGTGTTCTCAATAGTAATTAAATTTTTGCAGTTTGATTCTGAATTTCAAATAAAAAAAGTTTGAATATAGATTAAAATTAATGTACATATTTCAAAAATACAAGCAACTCTTTTGTAAAGTAAATTGTAAACAGGTCTGCCGATCAAAAGGTCAACGCACGTTGCTGCGTGGTATTTATTTACATCGTAATCAATGGATTTTATAATAATGTTTCTTAAAACTGTTTCATATATTTTGTTCATTGTAGTAATGACATAGCATCACAAAGGTAATGCATAAGATATATATTATTCAATTTAGTTGAGTTTATACACTGAAAAAAGACACATGAGCGGCGACGTACATGTACACGATTCACACATACATGTATTACAAAGGACTGCTTGTTTTGCAAAAATTAAGTACAAAGAAAAATATTTATAGCCAATTTGATATATTTTAAATATCTCTCATTTTATTACAGTACCAAAATTAAATTGACCAAATAAATTAAATGGTTTATCTTTTAAAATTAAGCAGTCATTGTGTCAGGAATCATCGACAAGCCTGATCATCTGGCAAATGTTAATTAATGTCGAGGCGTATTCAATTTGCGGTAGTAAAAAGATGGCTGACATTGTTTATCTGCTTTGAAATATTTTTGAAAATACACTATTCTTGTCGAATTCAAGTGACTTTCTGTGATATAGATGGTAAGGATGAGTAACAATACTAATGTTTCCCCTGAAGCTACCCATAATAAGCCGACATATTCAGACATTTTAAGCAGAAACCGGTTTGATCTACTTGACCGTATAGACAGTCAAGGACAAGGAGAAAGTCAAACTGACCATGTATTTAATGACCAGACTTTTAGACAGGTGCAGCGTTCTAAACGTCCGAGAATAAGTACAGGCAGCACTGATATGTCGATTGATGAATATAAACTTTTATCTACTGATGATAAACTTTCTGTTATGTTTGCCGAAATTAGCTCGAGTAGAAGCAAAATCGAGGTCATAGAGGGGAAAATTGACCACTGCCTACAGCTCAAAGGTAAAGTCGAAATCATAGAGGACACACTTATCTCATACGAAAAACGACGTTTGAAATACTTAGAATATAGGTCGATAGATCATGAAACACGCAACAGGCGATGCAATTTATTCTTTGGAAGCATACGAGAAACCCGTGGTGAAAATTGTGAACAAAGTGTCACAAACCTCCTATTAAATGAGTTGAAAGTTGACTGGCCAATACACATGGAACGTTCATATAGACTTGGTCCGTGTGTAAGGGGAAAAACGAGGGTGATATTTGTGACTTTTGAAAACTTTAAGGGTGTCCAATTGATCATTTCGAGAGCTCGCCGCCTAAAAGGCTCTTATTACAGCATAAATAAAGATTTCTCAGCTAGGAAAACCTTGTGGTCTACTTTTAAATCTATAAAACAGAGATATCCCGATAGTAGAACTGTTCTGGCATATCCAGCAAAAGTTATTCGTGATGGAGATGTTGTACTGGATCGTTTCCCAGACTGGGACGATGTTATGAACCATTCGAACATTTCAAAACAAAAGACAGCTGATTCATTATCTAGGACGCGTAGTAATACTCAAGATAAAGAAAATGAGTCAATGAATAGTCACGTGACCAGGACAAATGCAGACAGTGCACGGGATTTACATGCTGACAGACGAGCAGGCGCGTATCAAAGGATACGACAAGTTTCTACGTCAACCTCACGAAACACCGGTCGCAACAGGAGAGAGTCAATTTCACCCAACAGGAAAACCCCTATATCACCGCGTTCACGAGTCGAACATCCAGGAGGGAATCTCAGCACTATCATAGTAACTCCCAGATTGATAAATTCTCGAGGCCGTGGACAGACACAGATTTAAGCTCTACCCCAGTAAACAGGAACTCTGATAACCGTGATTAGGACAGATTGAGGAATTCTTCCCGAACGATTTGTGATGATATTGATATTAAGTTTTGTAGTTTGATGTAAATGGTTTTAAAAAAAACATATTGATTATCCAGATTTTTTAGAATTTGTTAATTGCTTTGATTTTTCTGTGCTATTGAAACTCATCTTGAAAACTCATACAAAAACGGTTATAAACTAAGGAACATGCATGACAAAAACCCGAAGCAATACTGGAAATTCCTTAAAAAACTTAAACCGAAATCAAAGGATGATGACACACCACAGAATTTTACAAATTTTTTTTAAAATATTCATAAAAACCCCTATATTGAAGGTTGATCGTTTTCTATCCCATGATTTTTTAGAACAGTCTAACCAATATTTAGATGCACCTATCTCTGATGCTGAAATTTTAAGATGTATAAGAAATTTAAATACCGGAAAAGCTTGCAGTCCCACGGATGATATATTAAATGAGCACATTAAATCGACTAAAGACCTGCTTTTACCTATTTATAATAAACTTAAATTCTGGCATTATTCCAAAATCATGGCTCGAAGGGTTCATTATCCCAATTTATAAAAACAAAGGAAACTCTCTAGACACTAGTTTTTACAGACCAATTACCATTCTATCATGTCTAGGAAAACTATTTACAGCAGTCTTAAACTTAAGACTAACCAATTATATTGAAAATACGCATTTACTTAATGAAAATCAATCATGGATTCCGAAGTTTGTATTCATGCTCTGATCATATTTTCACGCTCCATGCACTTATTGAGATCTTAAGGAAAAGAAAACAAAAGGTTTATTGTGCCTATGTAGACTTCTCACAATGTTTTGATAGACTTTGGCGATTTGGACTGACGCAAAACCTTATCGATGGAAAATGAGTTCGAACAATTTTTAACATGTATCAAAATATTAAATCTTGTGTAAAGCATTACGGTAACCATTCTCAACTCTTCTCTCAGAAATAGGAGACCGACAAAGCGAGAATTTAAGTCCGGTCCTCTTTTCTTTATACTTTAATGATTTACAAACATATCTGGAGGCGCACGGTGCCACTGGTATCGAGCTAGATGAACCTTGGCTTAAACTTTTAATTCTTCTCTACGCTGACGACACCGTGATAGTCTCGGATAATCCTGTCGATTTTCAACACAGTTTAAATTATTTTAACTCGTATTGTATGCAATGGAAATTAACTGTTTATCCAAATAAAACAAAAGTAATACTATTCGGAGATAGAAATAGTAATTCATATCATTTTAATTTAGGCGAACATGAACTTGAAATAACTGACAAAAACCATTATCTAGGTTTAACATTTTCTGCGTCCGGTTTCCTTAAAGCTAGGCAACATATAAGCCAACAGGCCAATAAAGCAATGCATCTTCTATTTACAAAAACAAATAACTCAGACCTACCCCCTGATCTAATAATATAGTTATTCGATTACACTTTTATGCCGATCCTTACATATGGGTCAGAAATTTTTGGTTTTGAAAATCTAGATTTACTTGAAAAAATCCATAACGTCTTTATGAGACGAATAACATCGGCTAGAAAAAGCACCCCAAAATATATGCTCAACTGTGAGCTTGGAAGACATCCGATTTATATTAATGTATATGCTAAAATGATATCTTTTTGGTCACGTTTAGTGCTTGGAAATGAAAATAAACTATCCGTTAAAATTTACAATTACATGTTAAATCGCAATGATACTGAATTTAAATGGACAAGTAAAATTAAAGAGATTCTCGTGAATGTAGGAAGACCTGATATTTGGCAAAACCAGCAAATTTTAGTACAGTAAAAATATCCACAAAGTTGTAAAACAAACTTTAATTGATCAATATAAACAGCGTTGGTATAATGAACTACAATTGTCGAATAAAGGTAGAATCTACAGCTCATTTAAAAGCACTTTAGAATTCGAGACATATTTCAATATACTCCCAATAGAAAGCTACATAACCTTATTTAGATTTCGTACATGTAATAACCGTTTACGAATTGAACCAGCGCGTTGGGGACGGGGAACCGCTTTTCTATATCAGTCAGGGGTGTAACTTAAAGCAGTTATCATTTTTAAAACTGAATTAAGTTACATATTTAAGATCTACAGGTTGCTTCCCTTTGTCTATCCGGATAATTGGTAATCCCTTTTAGATTATTCTAAAAATAGGTTACAAGGGCACTAAATCACGCTTCATTTTATTGATCTGAGCACGTGTAGACTTTGTAACTCCGGAGATATAGGCTCGGAGCAACACTTTAACTTAAATGCTCATTCTTTAATACAGAAAGAAATTCCCTCCTACAGCAAATTAATATTTCAGATACCGTCCATTGTTTTGCTAGAATATTATCAAGTAGAAATTGCTCTTTCTAATTTTAGTAAATTTACTAGCATTATTATGTCTGAATTTAATTAGCATAAGTTATGCCATAGAAGATAAATAGCTGCGTTTCTTTTTATTTCTTCTTTCTATTTTTTTTTCTAAATGAACGTGTTATCATATTACAACACTTCGACATTGTGCATACATTATAATAGCTACCGTTTTCCAGCAAAAAAAAAACAAAACAACTTTACCTTTGTAATAAATCCATGTTAATATTACACAAACTTATGAATGACATTCTTTTTCGTTGTATTAAGTCCATGATTTTTACGCGCATAGCCCACAAACTCTCCCTACTTAAAAAAACTACATTATTTTTTTCTAGAAATCCTTTAGATGATCTAAACAGTTCATAGAAAATATATATTTGGGCAAAGCAATCGTTGGTAGCAAATATAATTTATCATATCATTATTGTTGTTAATTAAATGTGTTTTATTACGAACTATTTAACACTGCGAATTGTATTTGTACTTAGGCTAACGATTTAAGATTACAGGGGCGTACATGCAAGATTATTTTTTATGCTCCTTGATAAAGGCTTGATATTGACCAATTAATCTTACTTAAAAAAACACACTTAATTTCTTTTTTCTCTCTTTCTCTCTCTCTATAATTTTGTAAAGTACAATACATGTAGTATAATTTAGACTTAACAGTCTCTATATAGCATGCTGATCATATGAAAAATTTTGTCTTATGTAAAGGATATTATTTAATATGTATTTATGTATTATTGTACATTGAAATGTTTTTTTTTATGTTTTTTTCAAAGAATAACTAGAATAAATTTTTTTTTAATGAAAACACTCTAGTGTGCTATTTCTTTTCTTTTTTTCTTGTTTTAACATACAATAACATAGTAATGATTTGAACACATTAACATTAAGGTTTCTTTTCCATGATATGTCAATAAATAAGTTTAGTCTTTTCTTAATACTTATATAGAATAATGTGAATATGAATAATGTGCATATTAAATCTTAATAGAAGGATGCATCCAAAATTAACATCTTTATCTTTAAATGTTACTGAATCGTCATACTATTTTGAATTAAAACACTATTCATCAGCTGATAAAGTACTAGCGGAAGTTTGTTTATCATATTGTATTGCCATGTACCCTGGGAAAGAAATAAAGAGATCTGTTCTGTTCTGTAATTAATTAATTAAAGAATGTCAGTTCAATATGATAATTTCATAAACTTTATTGATTATAACATATAAAGAAAAACTTGAATTGAAGATAGTGATAGTCATAAAGTTAACGTAGCAACTATCCATTATCGGAGGAAACAAATCAATTGGACAAAGCATCATTCCATTTTATGTCCGAAACATGCAATAATTTAAAAATCGGTATCAACATATACTTCTTATTTATACTATTGCCAGCACTATTTTGAAAAATAATTTGGATAATGCATATGTATGTGAATCTTAGGGGACAGGGGACCTAAAAATGAACAATTTTGTATTTCAGTGTGGGCAGAAACACAATTCCAAATATTTCAAAATCTGTTTCACAGGCAGATAACCAGTTGCACAGCATTATTCAATGATATATGATATACATTAAATATAATAATAGTTTTCATGCATTGCTCCTTAAAAATGACTGACAGGTAATTATATTAACCCCCACCCAGCCAAAATCACACCTAAAATATACTAATATGGGATATCTTCATGAAGGTGCAGCATACTCCAAAATTCGCCCCAATTTCTTTGAAAATCTCACTAACACACAGTGCAAGCAATGGCATTTTCAAAAATGACCAATAAAGTGTCTGTCATACGTTTAGATTTTTCACAAAATGTATCCGAAATTTCTTACATATTTAGCATCAAATCTAAAGTAAAAATATTGTCTTAAAACACAAATTTCACAGTTATAGGTTGATTTCAACAGAAAACCTGTGATGGTACCTCTTTTTAAAGGAATAAAATTTATACAGTAGAATCCCTACTTAAGACCAACTCAGATTTAAGACCATCCTGCTATTACAACCATTTTTTAAAGAACAGAATTTTCTGTTCTTTATGTCAATAGTTACATGCTCCAGAATTAAGACCACCCCGGTTATCAAAGACCACCAAATTCAGTCCCAATTGTTTGATTTATTCTTTATTTGAACTCTATATTTAGACCACTGATTTTAAAAGCAACACCTACCAAGATCACATATTTGTTGTTATTATCTGCTTGAATGCTCTTAGGCATGACACTTGATTCAACAAGGTGACAGAAACTGTTATTATAAGGTTAATGAAATAAGGTGTGAAAGTAAATTTAGAGTTACTGTGTTTCTATTTTCCTTTCAACACATTTATTTTGTGAAAATTTATTTCTTATATGATAAGTGAAATATGCACATTAAATAATAATTTATATTGAGATCAAACCAAAGATAATTTAATACTAAATTTCTTTAGAACAAAATGTTTTGTTCCAATCTGATTAAATATTATAACGTATATTGTATTTGTAGGTTAAGATACATATTGTTTGTTCACTTCAAATGACTAAAATAGACCATGGTCATAAGTTTGTAAGCAATGATAAGAATATTCACAATTAAGACAACCTCACAATTAAGACTACTTTGTTCCAGTCCCGACGGTGGTCTTAATTGAGTTTTACTGTACTATGTTGTAACAATCTAAATCCACCTTGCCGACGAGTTTATAAGCTTGTCTTCCCCCTCGGTCTCATAATGTACTTCATCAACTTCTATGTCATCTACTTCCTTCCCATTCTCCTTCAACCATTTCAAATGCTTCTTTCATTTGAGGAACGTCCTTAACTTGGTATTTTGCAATGTGCAGTTTAATACTGTCAATCTTTCTTCCAGGGTTTGTTACTGATACAAAATATAAATTAAGAAAGAACACAAATAAAAAATGATATAATGAAATCAAACATAAGTGTAAGTGATTGATTTTTTTTCTAATTTACATTTCAGGACTTAAAAACGATTTGGTAAAATTCTACAGAAAGAAACACAGTGGAATACCTCTGTCACCTCTTATTGAGGAAATAGAAACCCCTTTAGTAGGATTTTATGTGATGCCAGACATGGTTTCTGTAATACAGAAATCTTTAACAAGCGACGAAGAGGAAAAACATCCAGTTAACTCATTTATAGAGTTTTTCACTACGGAAAGTGAAGGTCAGAAAGAAATTTATCTATCTGCTGATGCGGGTTTTGGAAAAACTGCCTTATCAAAATATCTTGCTATTAGGTGGTGTGAAGCTCATTGTAAAGATAGAGATAACGAATCTTTTAAATATGCTGATCTTAAAGCATTATTAGACTTTGAATTTTTATTTTTGGTTTTACTTAGAGAATGTTCAGCAATTTGTCATGTTGACGAAATGATTGAACGACAGATTATCAAAAAACTTCCAAACTCGAACTCAGCTTCTTTAAAAAAGATTTTACGTAGAGAAAAATGCTTGATAATATTAGATGGACTTGATGAATGGACACATCCTGAAAATAGCTGTCCTGACAGAGATGAAAAGATTCCACATAGATATGAACGTGATAATTGTGTAATTCTTACGACTACACGTCCGTGGAAACTTGGATTTTCAAACCTAAAAGCAAGTCAGGTTAGCAAAAAAGTAGAGCTAGTTGAACTTAATGCCGTCTCTAGGGCGCAACTGGAGAGAAATGCTATAAGAAAAATGATCGATCATGTTAACGATTATGAATTAGAAGATTACAGGAGGAATTTTGAGAATGAAATTGCCTACCACGACCTTGAAAATATGCGAGCCATACCACTTCTATTGCTATATACACTGTGTTTGTGGTCTAACAGAATTCCTATAGGAAATTCCAAACATGAAACATATAGAAACATTATTGAATTTCTTTTATCAAGAACGGTAAAGAAACACCCGAAAATCAAAGCGTCCAGTGTACCTTCTGACAGCGACATCCCAGAATACTTCAGAAATTATAATTTTTGTGAGAAATTCTACACTCTTCTGAAAGCATTAGCGGAACTGGCATATCAAACGTTATTCGATTGCAAAAGAGAAAACACCCTAGTATTTGATGAAAAAGTTGTAAACAACTATCTCAAAACCGAAGATCTTACATTAAGTTTTTTCTCAGGAATATTGACAGAAAGTAGAATTAAAACATTAACAGAAGAAACGTCTAAAGTGTCGTTTTCCCACAAAACAGTTCAAGAATATTTTGCCGCCATTTTTATATGTTTTCAAAGTGATGCTCATGAATTTCATCTTAAAAACTGTATAAGTGTTCAAGACGTTCTTGACATTTCAAAGTTTATTTGTGATATGAATGCTAAAGTGATGTGTAAATTATCACACGATTTGATGTCTGTGGTAAATAATGATGAGGAAACGCGCAATTACAGAACTAGGACATGTGGCGAGAAAATTGACAAAAATCCGTTGTTTAAAATACAAAACGTGCTGCTTTCATGTTTAAAAAGGGTTTCTGAAAGTGAAAATCTCCAACTGTATATACAAGATTTATTCATCGACCGTAGCAACAAACAAGACACACAATTACAAGAAGTCGCAAAACAAAATGAAAATAACATAAAGTCAGTTTATGTAAGTACAAAAAACTCGTCCGCAAGTTTTTGTGAAATCATTTATATATTCTCCCTTACAAATATCAAATTTATACAAAAGGCTTACTTTGAAGGTTACAAAATGAAGACAACTGCAATAGAAAACTCTATTTTTGCGCCTTCTTGTGAAAGAAATTTGGGTGAAATCATGACGACATTCAAAGATTTACAATCTTTACATATCGGGAAAATCGCGATGTGTCACGAGGAGCTGAAATCAATTCTCAATTTTATCACGAGTAACAAAGTATTAAAGCAGATAGAATTGTTTGAGTTGACCTGTACGAAACATTACCGAAGCTGTGAAAGAATAATTGTTGACCTTTCTCAGCATTCTCATCTTACAAAGTTACGTTTGGGTTTTTTACCTGCGTTGCAATTAAACATGACAAGTCCGTCATTAGTTGATGTAAATTTATGGCATATAAATCTAGGAGACAGTTCATTACTGTCACCTGACATGCTGAAGATCAAAAGTGTTAGTTTGGGAAGTATACAAATGTCTGTTCTATCAAAAAATGAGTTAACTGACGTTTTAGAAAACCTTCCTCAGCCAGTCGAAGTGAATATGAAAGGTTTTGACCTGAGTTATCAGTCTGAAAGATTGTGACATACGGCGCACGCCTAAGTTATCAGTGTACAATACATTTAAAACGTAGAGTAGTAAAAGAATACCCATGCAGTCATAACTGAAACTGCCTTAATAATTCAGCAAGTACAATGATTGTATGATAAAAACTTTGTTGAACTTGGAGTATTCTATGATAATACCGATCAAAGGAATTTTAATGGAAGGAATATGGAACCAAAAATCGAGCATGTACGATATCGTATTTGTATATAAAATAATATTGTAATAAAATTCTAAACACCAACTAACCACGTTTCTCTGATGTCAAAATAAGTAAAAGGTTTAAACTCAATTGAAAAGTGCGTTATGTCAAAAGATATCAATGCTATCGGGGACAACGTACTGTGTTTCTCTTTGCGTTGTAATCATTTTCTGTCAATTCTTTTATAAACAGGAAATAACAATTTCCAAAATTTCCAACAAATGGTTGTTTTATGAAAATACCATTCATACGATGCGATGCCGATGTTAAAAGTGGAGTCCCCTCGTCAAACTGTATGGTAATGTTTGCATACATGGAAGGAATTGCACCGTGATAGTGCACGAAGAGTACATATGTGCGCTCCAGTCTCACTAAGCGTTTTCAATAAAACATTAAAATTTAAAGAAAAATTCATAATAAACTTTCCGACGGCCATTTTCCACTGCTTTTGCAACGAATATCCACTGCCGTTTCTATGGACACTTTGAGAAGGTTTTGCAAGCTTTAACACAATCACCGGTATTAGTTTATTACGATCCTAAGCAACCAGTCAAAAGTCGATTCGAGTTGTAGAGATTAAAATATTACCTGTTTCCAAAGTGATATACCAATAGCATTTTGTGCTAAAACATTGACTGAGACAGTTATGCCCAAACAGAAAGAGAAATGCTAGCAATTCTGTTATGATTGAATGCAGGCAATACTGCTATGCAAGGCAAATAGTTGTGGAATCCAACCACAAACAAATTGTTTCTTTTATGAAGAAACCCTGTGTATTACATCCGTATAGTTTCAACAGTTTGACATGGAAGTCATTTATATAAGCGGCAAACATATTCCGTTACCTGGTACATAGTAAATAAATTTTGTCTGTGACATATACCCAGACTTGACTTAAAAGTCTCGGTCTTTTACATATACATACTGTCATATATAGTTTACCTATAAGTGGCATTAAAACTGAACAAATCCGCTAAACCACTCAAAATAACAGTCAAGCGTGGAAACGGACTACATGTGAGAGATATGGCCTGGCTTTGAATCATAAAGATGAATTGTCCGTGGCAAATGAAAAGATCTTAAGAGGTCAAAGTATTGTTATTCCAAAAGACAAACAATGATAAATGCTGTACACATATATCACATGGATGTCAATAAAACTCTCAGTCGCGCGATAGATATAATGTTGTGGAAAACAAAAGTTAGCTTGCCGATTATGTTTAACACATAGGTAATGCCAAAGAGCCTCTTAAACCCCATCACATACCACAACGACCAGAATGATATTTGTGATATTTTCTCTTTAGGCAATAAAGTCTGTTCTACCTACAACTGGGAAACAATTACCCCCTTAATAAATAAATCACAATGCTGCAAATGAGAAAAAAGCAAACTGATCCGAAATTCCTATAACGATAAAGGTTCAAAATCTCTCCCAAAGTTTAAAGTGGGTGAGGCGTCCAGAATTCAAAATGATAAAACCTGGGAACCAGCCTTATCATTGCAATTACAGGTGACAGGTCGTACAGTGTAAAAAACTGAGGTTAAATCATTTTGCAGACGAAATAGGCCTTTTCTTTAACAAAACCCAGGAAAACTATTCAAACTATGCAGAAACGTTTGTCCCAGATATTACTCAATATGAGTAAAACCTTTATCATAGTTAATTATAGAAAACAAATGCAACATCGCAGCATAAATTTAGTAATTTAGTAATTTATTCAGTCGTTCCACATTCTCTACCCCAGCCGCCAAAAAATGTAGACAATAATTCACCTTATCGCACACATGGTTTCAGGGAGTAAAATCTGATAGGTTTCACAGTGAGAAACAATGGTTTAAATAGTGAAAGTTGATAATGAAAAGAAATATTTATGTAGATCTTAAATGCTCGAATATTTTTCCAGCAAATAAGAGATTGTGAATAAATAAGATAACTCATGAATTATTTAATATTTATATGATGATGATATATTAAGGCACATTTTTTTTTTAGAAAGAAGGAAAATGTAGTAATATCAGCTGAAAGCTAGTTTATAAATATATACATATTGCGCATGCTCAGTAACATGTTTAGCCAGCGTATCTATGTAAGGGATTAAAGGAGAATAAATTTACATCTTGTAGAGAATTTACGTGCTTGATTTATTATAACACTGGTCTTATATTTCTTTCCAGCAAGCATTTTTTTCAGTTCTGGAAACAAATAAAAGTCACAGGGGCCGAGGTCTGGGCTATAAGGAGGGTGAGACAACAATTGCCATTTGTAAGAGTTGATAACCTCCACTGTAGCTGCAGCGGTATGGGAGGGGGCATTACCGTGAAGAAGGAGGACATTTTTCTGTGCTAACCTGGGACGCATTTGCTTCAGCTTTTCTCTGAGATTTTTCAGAATTACTTCAGAATAGTACTTGGCGGTGACAGTTTGACCTTTTGGCATGAAATGAGTAAGTATCATTCCTCGTGAATTTCAAAAGGCAACAAGCATGACTTTGCCAGCCGAAGGAGACAGCTTAAACGTTTTAGGAGGTGGGGAACCAGCTCATTTCCACTGCTTTGACTGAGCTTTTGTCTCAGGTTCGGAATATTGAACCAACATCTCATCTCCAGTGATAATGCGGTTCAAAAACTTATCTCCTTCACGATTAAAACGACTTAAATGTTATTTTGCATTGGTTACTCTGGTTGCCTTTTGATCTGCGGACAGCTGTCTAGGCACCCACATGACACTAACTTTGCTCATGCCTATGTGTTCGTGTAAAATCTTGTGTGCCGATGCCTTACCGATGCTAAACTTGTTGGCTACCTCCTCCAAAGTTACTCAACGATTTTTGTTGACAAAAGCTTTAACATTTGCTACCATTGTTGGGGTCACCGCCTCAGCTGGCCGCACAGTCCTAGGCCTGTCATAAACACTTGTTATGCCTTCACGAAACTGAGAAACCCAGTTGTAGAAGGTTGAACGTGATACACATTTATCAGAAAATCTTTTTAAGCCTCTGAAAGATATGGCAGGGCTTTTCACCTTCTGCAACAAGAAACTTTATTACAGAGCGTTGTTCCTCTAACAAAGAGTCCATGATAGACGAAACACCTGTCATATATCAGAGGGCAAAATATTGAAAATAAACTGATCACGTTATTGGCGAATGAATGTAGTTTTCACCAATATATAATGTGTGTATATAGCTGCACGTGGAAAGAGAGGAGCATGAAAAGTTCGGATATTTTCTGACCGTCTAAGGCCTATGGCTTACCACCTCTATTATATCTTTCTTTTCTTCTACAATGGTACAAACCTGGCCAATTTTAAGTGATATGACACAGTACCCTGAGTAAAAAACAAATTCACATTAAATTTGGTCTTTCCTATGATGAAGAATTGGCAACAAATCAACCAGCAAATAGGCTTAAAATATTGCAAATATAACAATATTTGTCATTACTCAAAAAGTAGTGAAGACATTTTTATTAAACTTTATATTATATATTATATTATATTATATTTTACTCAAACTTCTTCATTTCTTATAGCTTTTTTTCAAACTTCCACATCATAATAAAATGGCAAGGGTTATAAATAGCCTCCACATTTCCAGAATTATCTCCTCCTTAAACTTTGAATTTTTCTTACTCATTCTTTAACTTTCTTATTTCTCTAGGATTTACTTCAAATTTAAAAAAGACGTTTATTATCAAGACCTTTTTCATATGTCATTTGATTTATAAAACATGGGTTTTATTTTCATTTCAACTTGAAATTTACTAGAATTTTTCTTTTAATTTTGTTCTTTGTTACTATATAAATGGTATCTTCCTTAAACTTAAGATACTTTTTCTTTAATACACTCACATCATGTATGGCAATGTTCATAAGTCTAGCATCTTTATTTTAAGAGTTATCTCCTCTTAGTTTAAGAATTTTGCTTTTAAAAATGTTATATTCTGGTAACAACCAAGGATGTTTAAAGATTTATCCTCAGAGTCTATGTCAGTTGGTATGTCTGTCTGTTTCTAAAATGTTTCCTGGGATTACTTTAAAAGACATTAGAATTTTTCCAACAAATTTACTTAAAATAGAGAAAAGTTGAAAGTTATCCATATTCATCCTGAGAAAATTGGATCTTTTGATTTTCTGTTCTATAAACATAATTAGGGAAACTTAACATATTACTTAGATACAGACAAACTATGAAATAAAAATATTTAAGTTTATTCATGACATTCATTTATTCAACGACATAATTAAATAAGCAAAGACCCTTCAGAATGTTGCTGGGGTTCTAACCGGCAGGGGACTTATGGATTGCTTGCAATTCTATGATAATTGCGTGTTGTTCTTAAAGTTAAATTTTACGTATAGCTGTACATTAATGCTCTGATTGGCCCCCGTACAGCGACAAATTCATATCTTTGGCTAATACACCGTGGATGGAGGTAAAGGTTTTTTTTAATTTATACATATTTCTTCTATTTATTTATTTATTCTACTCAGGTGTCCGGTTGTGCCTGAAATAATGCACGGAGGGCAAAGTGATGATCAGAAACATAAATTTTTATAAAAAATGAGTTTCATAAAAATGTATTCACTACTTTTTGAGTAATGACAAATATTGTTATATTTGCAATATTCTAAGCCTATTTGTTGCCATAACAACCAAATTTTTAGCTCACCTGAGCATGCTCAGGGTGAGCTTTGAGGATCGATGATTGTCCGTCGTCCGTCCGTCCGTCGTCCGTTCACATTTAGTTGTTAACACTCTAGCGGTCGCATTTTTGCCTCAATCATCATTAAACTTGGTCAGGATGCTTATCTAGTTGATAGCTCGGATGAGTTCGAACATGGGTCATCTCGGATGAGAAACTAGGTCACAAGAGCTAAAAATAGAAAAACCTTGTTAACACTCTAGATGTCACATTTTTGCCTGAATCATCATCAAACTTGGTCAGGATGTTTGTCTAGGTGATAGCTCGGATGAGTTCGAACATGGGTCATCTCGGATAAAAAGTAGGTCACCGTAGCTAAAAATAGAAAACCTTGT